CACCTGAAGGAGCAGGACCGGGAGCAGGGAGGGGGTCTACCTGGGGAGCACCTGGAGCAAGGAAGAGCGGCGGGGGGGGGGGGGGAGAGGGGCAGTGCGGTAGGGGAAGAGATGATAAAAGGGAACCGACTCGTCGAACGTGACGTCCTGAGAGGGGAAGACACGGCGCGAGGTGGGGTGGTAAAACTGCCACCCAGGCGCGTCAAGGACAAAGCGAAGGAAGACACAGGGAACAACGCGGGCGGAGAGCTTGTCCGCGGTGGTATCGCGGACAAAGGCACGAGAACCCCAGACCCGAAACACCGACGCATCGCCAACCTCCCCCGTCCGCTGCAGTGTGGGCGACGTCTCCGGCAAGGAGACACGGGGCCAGAGGTTGAGCTGATGCGTGGCGTAGCGGACCGCAAACGGCCACAGAAAATGGGGGGCAGCCGCATGGACCATGGAGGTACGAGCGACCTCCATGACCAAGCCAATGCGGCGCTCAACAACCCCATTCTGCTGCGGAGAGGCCGGAAGCGTGAACGTCTGGCGAATGCCCTCCCCACGACAAAAGCTCTGCAGATGGTCAGAGGAAACTCCCCACCTCTGTCAGAGTGCAGACGCAGAACTGGAAACTCCGTCGCGAACCGCACGCGGAGCTGAAGACGGGCAGCGCAGATCCAAGGGATCAAAACATCAGGGACCTCACCTTTGGGGCGCAAGGGGAAGACCGTGGTGTAACGCAAGTAGTCATCAACAACCAGCAGGAAGTACCACTCGCGGTCCTGCTCACTGACGTAGGCTGGGCCCCACACGTCCATGTACAGGGTCTGCAGGGGAGCAGACGTCGGGGAAAATTAGGAGGAGTGAGGAGCGGCGCGCTACCGCCCCTCGACACAGGGAAGACAGGGAGGAGCAGCCGAGGGTGGGAGGGGAGGGAGATCCCTGAGAAGACCAGAAACAAGGACACGGCGGTGCATGCTACGAAGGCGCTGCACCGAGGGGTGACCAAGGCGGTAGTGCCAAAGGAGGGTCTGGTGCGACAAAGCGCGACACGAGCAGGGGGCCGCTAGCTGACCTGACGCAGACGCAGACGCAACGACCTGAGGGGACACAATAGCCAGTGTGTGTGAGTCAAGTGTGTAGGTGTACAAGGCCTCAGCAGGCGCAGTACCAGAGAGAGCAGACTTACCAGCACCTGGAGCAGCAGCCTCACCAGCACCCAGAGCAGGAGACGCACTAGCCCCTATAGCAGCAGCCTCTATACCTGGGTCAGGCGGTACGCACAGGTAACAGGCACGGTCAGCACTAGTAGGCAATGCATACATGGTAGTGAGAATAGCATCATAGTCAAGAGCAAAGATATCTACCCTCTGCCCTAGCAGCTCCAGCCAGGTGGGGAGCTCAGCCTCGTCGCCAAACTCGGTACGCCAGGCATCGCTCTAACGGGCGAAGCAGCGGGACTGTGTGTGACCAAGCGTCCCGCAAGCCTGACCAGCCCGATCACCTGTGCGAATGACGTACGGGCAGCGAACGGTACTTCGAGACCCTCTACTCTGAGCGTACCACTCGTGAAGCTGCTGGGACGTAAGTGTCTCATGCGGACACCGCTGCAGCTGCAGCTGGCCACTGCCAGACGCTCCCAACTGACCAGCTCCAAGGCGACAGCTACGATGGCTACCGCCACAACCCCAACTAGCGTACCACTTACGAAGCTGCTAGGGCGTGAGAGACTCACGCTGACGTCGCTGGAGCTGCATCTGGCCACTGCCAGTAGTAGTAGTAGCAGTAGCCGGGGCAGCGGCAGCAGCAAAGCAAGGCCGCGGCAGCGGCAGGGCGGGGCCGCGTCAGCGGCAGGGCGCGCCGCGACAGCGACCTGGCGGAGCCGCATCGGCGGCTGGGCGGGGCCGCGACAGCGGCAGGTCGGGGCCGCGTCAGCGGATGTCGGGGCCGCGTCGGCGGCACGGCGGGGCCGCGGCAGTGGCAGGGCGGGGCCGCGTCAGCGACCTGGCGGGGCCACGTCGGCGGCAGGGCGGGGCCGCGTCAGAGGTAGGGCGGGGCCGCGACTGCGGTAGGGCGGGGCCGAGTCAGCGCCAGGGCTGGGCCGCGTCAGAGGCAGGGCGGGGCCGAGTCAGCGGCAGGGCGGTGCCGCGACAGCGACCTGGCGGGGCCGCGTCGGCGGCAGGGCGGGGCCGCGACAGCGGTAGGGCGGGGCCGCGTCAGCGGCAGGGCAGGGGCGCGACCGCGGTAGGGCGGGGCTGCGTCAGCGGCAGGGCGGGGTCGCGTCTGCAGGGGCGGCTCGCGGGCTTGACGGGCCTGCAGGGGCGCCTAGCGGGCAAGACGGGCCTGCAGGGGCGGTGCGCTGGCCTTACGAGCCTGCAGGGGCGGCGCGCGGGCCTTACGGACCTGCAGGGGCGGCGCGCTGGCCTAAGGCAGCAGTTAGCAGCGCGTGGGCTGCAGGACGGCGCGTGCAGCGCAGCACGTCACAAGGCAAGGCAGGCATGGAGGATAACACGTGGAGTAGCGCGGTAACCGCAATGGTAGGTGGGCCCGAAAAAAAAAAAGAGACGGTCCTACGGACCTAGTGCTTTGATACCATGTTAGAATCTAGCAGCAGGAATGGATGAACTATGAAAGAGTTGGGTACAAGTATGAAACCCTAAAAAGGGTTGTATCCCATGTTGGCTACCCCACTATAGCCTACATATATGTAACATGCATATACTTTGACATCCTGACCACTCTGCACAGCGCTGCTACAGTCGCCTCGACGACCTCTACCGTGAGCGTTTTTTGCCTGAGTCGGCTCCCCCGATCTGGCCTGGTCTGTTTCGTAGTGGTTACCCTGTGTTTGATATGTCTATGGATGTTGTTTTTTCTTGTCACGTACGGATCTCTTGGCTTACGTGTTCCTAACTTAGGACCTTTGCCTGTTGCTAGTGTCGGTACTTGTGCTTTTAGTGTAGGTGCTTGTGTAGTCACTAGCCCAGCCGTGACGACTGTTGTTGCGTCGCTCTCCTTCACGCTGGACTCTGGATCGTCTCAGTGCTTCTTCCGTGACCACACTACTGTCACACCTCTTTCGGCTCCAATCCCAGTTGCCCTGGCTGATCCTACTTCAAGACAAGCAGTTGCTCGCAGCTCGACCACTCTCCCGTGCCCAGCTGTCCCATCTGGTTTCCTCACTGGTCTCTACATCCCCTCGTTCACTTGGAACTTGGTGGGTGTTGGATACCTTCAGGACCGTGGGATCAGAATCACTTTTCCTGCGCACGGGAGGACGGCGATCTGTACTGACGCTTCCACCGGGGCACTTCTTGCCACGTTCACCAGGGAGCCCCACTCAAGTCTCTTTGTTCTGCACACTACGTCCTCCCAGGTAGCAGAGTCCGGTCAGGTGACTGCGTCCCCCTAGGTAGTAGAGTCCGGCCACTGTGTCCCCTCCGGTTGCTTTGTCTAGTCATGTTGCTGCGTCTGGTCAGATTGCTGTGTCTTGCTCCTGTCGGTCTCTCGCCCAGCCGACCGTCTTGTAGCACCACCGTCTTGGCCACCCGTCGATCCCCAGCCTCTGCAGCATGGCTAGTCATAGTCTTGTCTCAGGTCTCCCGCACGTCTTTCCGTAGCTCCCTCCTTCGTTTGCTCCACCTTGCAATCCTTGCGTCCCTGGCCGCCTGCGCGTCACTCCGCACTCCTCCTCTCTTCGTCCGGCCACTGCTCCCTTCCAGAATCTCCACTTGGACGTCTGGGGCCCTGCCCCCACGTTGGGACCTAAGAGGGAGCGCTACTTTCTAGTGGTCGTTGACGACTATGTGACACTCCAGGTACACCACGGTGTTTCCTCTCGTGAAGAAGTCCTATGTGACTTCTACGCTGATCCGGTGGCTTCTGGCCACTAAAGGCACTCGTGGTATTCGTGTCCGTTGTTTCCACTCCGACCATGGGGGTGAGTTTCGCTCCGGCGTCCTTGCCGGGTTCTGCGGCGAGCAGGGCATCAGACAGTCATGGACGCTGCCGGAGTCCACACAACAAAATGGGGTTGCTGGGCGCCGCATTGGCTTAGTCATGGACATCGCCCGCACGTCCATGATCCATGCCCATGCACCCCATTTTCTGTGGCCCTATGCTCTGCGCTACGGCGCGCACCAGGTGAACCTCCAGCCGCGTGTCTCGCGGCCAGAGGTTTCACCGACCAGTCTTTGGACTGGGTCCCCTGGTGTTGGGTCGGCCTTTCACATTTCGGGCTGCCTTGCGCTTGTCCGCGACACCTCTGCGGACAAACTCTCGGATCGCGCCATCCCCTGTGTAATATTTGGTATCCCGGTGGGCTCTCCTGACTACTCCTTTTACCACCCGCCCCTCCACCAGTTTCTCAACTCTCGTGACGTCCGGTTTGACGAGTTTGTGTTCTACTACACCCGGTACCCCTGTCGAGGTCTCCCGGTTCCCCCTCCCCCCCCTCTTCTTCGCACCCTCTCTTCCCCCTGCTCCCGCTCCTGCGGTCCCCCCACCCCCCCCCTGGTCCTGCCCCGTTAGGTGTGTCTCATGCTACCCCTCTACCCTCGGTCGCGCGTCAGGTAGCGTCTCCCTCCCCGCAGTCCTCCTCACAGTCCCCTTAGCAGCCTTCGGCACTTCCGCGACAGGTTACTGTGGACTCGGTTGGTGTTGGAGCTGGAGGTGCAGCCACTGGCGGTACTCGGTCTGGGGGTGCTCGTTCGAGGGGTGCTGGAGCTGGAGGTGCTGGCGCAGGTGGCGCTAGCTCTGGGGGTACTGGAGCTGGAGGTTCTGGCACTGGAGGTGCTACTTCTGGGGGTGCTGGAGCTGGAGGTGCTGGCACAGGTGGCACTGGTTCTGGGGGTGCTGGAGCTAGAGGTGCTAGAGCTAGAGGTGCTGGCGCAGGTGGCGCTAGTTCTGGGGGTGCTGGAGCTGGAGGTGCTGGCGCTGCTGGCGCTAGTTCTGGGGGTGCTGGAGCAGGAGGTGCGGCACTGTATGAGCTGAAGGCACGCCGCCTCCCCACCGCTATGACACATGTTTCCAGGCTCTTTGCCGGCTTGAGCGCGAGGAGCAGGAGCGGGTGGAGCAGGAGAGGCAGGAGCTGCAGTAGTTGGACCAGCAACAGCAGCAGTAGCAGCAGCAGCAGCAGCAGCAGCAGCAGCAGCAGCAGCAGCAGCAGCAGCAGCAGCAGCAGCAGCAGCAGCAGCAGCAGCAGCAGACGCCGCAGCCGCCACCTTTACAGCAGCTGTTCCCTCCAGTGAGTGGCCTTCGGGCCCTTGGTCTTCCTTCCTCTCCTCCTGTCCACTCCCAGTCACCTACTGCGTACGGTCCTACGTTTCCTCCTCCGGACTCGACTCCGGCTGTTTTCTCTCCTCCTAAGTCACGGTCGTCTCCTCCTGTTGTTCCGCACGACTGGACCAGTCGTTGTCCTCCGCGTGCTCGGCCCTCGTCTCTTTTTGCCGACCTCTGCACTGTCTTGTTTCGTTCTCCTCCTCGTCGTTCTCTGCCTGTATCTGTTCTCCCCTCACCTCCTAAGTTGTCTCTCACCGTTTCCTCTCACCCTATCATTGACTACTACCGGGTTGCTCACCCTGTTTTCTCTCGTGTTCTCGCCTCTCTTGTCACCGACCCTCGTGCCTCTCCGTCGTCTGTCTTGGCTCTTACTACCACTGTCGCTGACTTTGCTTCCACCCGCCGTCTTGACTACACCACGCGTGTGGTGGCTGCTCCACCTCCATGTCCTCTGTCCGTCGGGGGTGAGTCTGCCCTTGGCTATGACGTCATAGAGGACAGGCAGTTTGAGCTGGAGTTCTTAGCAGCCACTTCCCCCTCTCTCTACGCCATGCTGCTTTCCCTTGAGGGAGACCTCGACGCCCTTGACATACCGACACCTTGCACGTACCATGAGGCCGTGTTAGGGAAGTAGGCCTCTCAGTGGAAAGCGGCTATGGATGCAGACTTAGCGTCTTGGGGATCCACAGGCACGTATGTCGACGCAGTTCCCCCTCCCAGGGCGAACGTTGTCGATGGCATGTGGCTCTTCAAGGTGAATCGGCCGCCTGGTTCACCACCTATGTTCAAAGCGCGCTACGTGGCTATGGGTTTCAGTCAGCGTGAGGGAGTTGACTTCTTCTAGATTTTTGCCCCGACCCCGAAGATGACTACTCTTCAGGTATTACTGCACGTAGCAACACAGCGTGATTACGAGATGCACTCCCTTGAATTCTCCACTGCGTTTCTCCAGGGTCACCTATACGAGGAGATCTGGCTGCGCCGTCCTCTTGGCTTCAGTGACACCTTCCCACCTGGGACCCAATGGAGCCTGAGGTGGCCAGTCTATGGTCTCCGCCAGTCACCCCGTGAGTGGCACGACAGTCTTCGCTTCACGCTTCGTGACCTTGTGTTCCGTCCTTTTTCTGCCGACCCGTCGCTCTTTCTTCGCACTAGTTCCACTCCTTTCTTTATACTAGTGTACGTCGACGACTTGGTCTTTGCTACAGCAGACAGGGCAGCTCTGACTGGGGTGAAATCCAAACTGCAGAAGAGACACAAGTGCACTGACTTCGGTGAACCGTAGTGCTACCTTGGCCTGTAGATCACGAGGGACAGAGCCGCTCGCACCATCACACTGCCTCAGTCACACATGGTGCAGCAGGTCCTTCGGCGGTTCGGGTTTCAGTTCTCCACCACACAGCCCACTCCTCTTGCCGTTGATCACCGACTCACTTGCCCTTTTCCCTACGAGCCCTTTGAGTCTAGTGGCCCCTACGCAAAACTTGTGGGCTGCCTCATGTACCTGATGACTTGTACTCGGCCGGACATCGCCTTTCCCCTCAACGTCCTCTCTCGCTTTGTTGTGATTGGGAGATACCTTCAAGTTCACTGGACAGCTGCTGTGAGGGTGGCGAAGTACCAGGCGACTACATCAGGCATGGGGCTTGTGCTTGGAGGGACACAACCAGTTGTGTTGACCGGTCACTACGACTCTTCCTACGCTGACGACGTGGAGACTCAGCACTTGACTCGGGGTTACTGCTTCAATCTGGGTGCTGGTGTTGTGTCGTGGAGGTCTACACGGTCGTTGTCTGTGGCTACGTCCAGTGCAGAGGCAGAGATCTACGCTGGTGCCATGGCGGCATAGGAGCTTTGCTGGTTGACCTTCTTGCTCGCCGACCTTGGTGAGCGGCCTCGCTCTGCACTGACCTTGTACGCTAACAACAAGGTCATGATCCTCCTGTGTTGAGAGCCTTAACTGGAGAGCAGAGTGAAGCATATTGACGTGAGGTACTTCCTCCTACGAGAGTTGCAGCGACGCGGCCAGGCACGCTTGGACTTTGTGGCCTCAGAGGCCAACACTGCCGACGTCTTCACCAAGGCCTTGGCGCTTGGTGATCACCACAGGTTTTGTGTGCAGTTGGGGCTTATTGAGGTAGGCTCTCGGTTGCTGTAGACTTGTTGTTTGCTCTGCTTGTTGTGCTTTGCTATATATATCCAAGCGAACTCTTGAACTGGCCTTGTGACCGCTGTCTTGTGCTCGGAATTTGTGTGGTGTCATTGAGATCCACCCAGAGCTTGCTTTGGCTCTTGCATTGACTAGTCTTCTGACCGTTTGTTCACCCTGCGTGCTTTGATGCCCCTCACTTAGCCTACGGGGGTGTTTCAAATGTTGTTATATGTGCTTAGGCTACAGTGAGTAGCACTCTAAGGAGTACAACACTTGTAGGGTTGCTATTTGTATCTCTTGATATTCCTAGTTCACACATTCCGTTGCATTCACTTTCTTAGAAATAGTTGTGTTGCATCATACCAAAATGATTAGGTGCAAAAACGCAATTTATATGTTGTAAAGAAACAAATTATTCTTATTTATAGTATGAAAACTTTGTACATCTGTGTTGTTACATCGCTGATTGTCAAACTGTATGTTTGTCTTATCTCTAGGCTATAGTGGGTTAGCCTACAAAGGGTACAACACTTTAGGGTTAGGTACTTGTACTCATGCATGCTACCTAGTCCACCATTCCTGCCTGCTTATTCTAACATGGTATTAGAGCAGAATCGTTCCTAGGGCCCACCGAACGTTCCGCCCCTATAGTCGCGCTGCCCTTGCAGCCCGCGTGCTGCCCCTGCGACCGCGCTGCCCCTGCAGCCGTGCTCGCCCCTGTGACCATGCTGCCCCTGCAGCCGTGCTCGTCCCTGCGACCGTGCTGCCCCTGCAGCCGTACTCGCCCCTGCGACCGTGCTGCCCCTGCAGCCGTGCCTGCCCCTGCGACCGTACTGCCCCTGCAGCCGTGCCTGCCCTTGTGGCCCGCGTGCTGCCCCTGCAGCCCGCTAGTTTTCCCCTGCAGCCCGTGGGCGCTGCCTCTGCAGCCCGCGCGCCGCCCTGCCGATCCGCTCGTCGCCCCTGTAGCCCGTGGGCGCTGCCCCTGCAGCCTGTGGGCGCTGCCCCTGCAGCCCGTACGCCGCCCGGCAGAGCCACGCGTCGCCCCTGCAGCCCGTATGCCGCCCTGCAGAGCCGCGGATCGCCATTGCAGCCCGTGGGCGCTGCCCCTGCAGCCCGCGCGCCGCCCTGCCAAGCCGCGCCTTGCCCCTGCAGCTCGTGGGCGCTGCCCCTGCAGCCCGTACGCCGCCCTGCAGAGCCGCGCGTTGCCCCTGCAGCCCGTATGCCGCCCTGCAAAGCCGCACGTCGCCCTTGCAGCCCGTGGGCGCTGCCCCTGCAGCCCGCGCGCCGCCCTGCCGAGCAGAGCGTCGCCCTTGCAGCCTGGGCGCCGCCCTGCCGAGCCGCGCGCCGCCCCTACAGCCCGCGCGCCGCCCTGCCGAGCTGCGCGTCGCCCCTGCAGCCTGCGCGCCGCCTTGCCGAGCCGCGCATTGCCCCTGCAGCCCCGGCCGCGCGTAATCCTAAACCCTAAATAATAATAATATATTAAAAAAAAAACTATTGCTGCTGCTGCTACTAGTGCTACTGCTGCTGGTGGTGGAGGTGCTGCTAAGAGTGCTGGAGGTGCAGCCGCCCAACCCCACTGAGCCGCTCTCCTGCTGCTGCTACTCGTGCTACTGCTGCTGCTGGTGGAGGTGCTAGTGGTGCTGGAGGAGCTGGAGGTGCGGGACCTACTGGTGACCGTCGCTGTCTGTCATGGCCACTATCGCGGCAGTTGCTGCGGCCAGGGGTGGACAGCAGCGGGCACTGCCTCTCCCGGACGACCCCACCCCTCAGTAGTTTCGTGAGAGGGTTGTTCAGCGAGGCAGGCCTAGTGGTGGAGGTTATCGTTGTGTTAAGGATGCTGCTTTTGGTGCTAGTGAGTCTACTGCCACTCCAGGTGCTAGTGAGTCTGCTGCCGCTCCAGGTGCTAGTGATTCTGCTGCTGCTCTAGGTGCCCGTGAGTATGCCGACCCTCTAGGTGCTAGTGCGTCTACTGCCACAGGTCCTGCCTCCGCTGAGGTCTTGCACACTTTCACACTTGACTCAGGCGCGTCACGTTGCTTCTTTCGTGATTGCGCCACAGTCACACCACTCACAGCACCTGTCCCAGTCTCACTGGCTGACCCCTCTGGAGGCCCAGTAGTTGCGAGAGCCTCCACGGTCCTCCCTTGTCCAACAGACCCCTCCGGTTCTCTGTCAGGTCTCCACCTCCCCACGTTCTCGACGAACTTGGTGAGCAGCGCTGCCATTCAGGATGTCTGGGTTGATACCTTTATTCCTGGAGGGCAGCGTGTGGCGATCTGTACGTGCTCCCGGACTGGCCGTCACCTGGCTACGTTCACTCGACAGCCTGGGTCAAGTCTGTACACACTGACCACTGCGTCTGCACAGGTGGCTGAGTCAGGTCAGGTGGCTGCGGCGAGTCGGGCGTCTGCGTCGGGACAGTTAGCTGCGTCTTGCTCGTGCAGAGTACTCACGCACGAGACTCAGCGCTGGCACCACCATCTTGGTCACCCCTCCCTGCCGTGTCTACGCAGTATGCACTCCCGTCTCCTTGTCTCTGGCCTCCCCAGGACCCTGCCCCCCCTGCCGCGCTCGCTTGCCCCGCCGTGCCTTCCTTGCGTCGAGGGGCGGCAGCGCCCCGCTTCTCACTCGTCCAAGTTTCCTCCGACCACTGCTCCTCTGCAGACTCTCCACCTGGACGTGTGGGGCCCGGCCCCAATCGGTGGAACGAACCAGGAGCGCTACTTCCTGCTGGTTGTTGACGACTACATACGCTACACCACCGTCTTCCCCTTGCGGCGCAAGACGGATGTCAGCGGTGTTTTGATCCCCTGGATCCATGCTACTCGTCTCCAGCTGCACGAGCGTTTTCAGCAGAACTTCCCAGTCTTGCGTCTGCACTCTAACAGGGGTGGTGAGTTCTCCTCTGGCGTCCTTGAGACGTTTTGTCAGGATGAGGGCATCGCCCAGTCGTTCACGCTTCCAGCCTCTCCGCAGCAAAATGGGATCGCTGAGCGTCGCATTGGCCTGATCATGGAGGTTGCTCGTACCTCCATGATCCATGCAGCTGCTCCCCATTTCCTGTGGCCGTTTGCGGTCCGATACGCCGCGCATCAGCTCAACCTCTGGCCCCGTGTCTCTGCTCCAGAGACCTCGCCCACACTCCGTTGGACGGGACAGCCCGGTGATGCGTCGTCGTTTTGGGTCTGGGGCGCGCTCTCCCTTGTTCGCGATACCAAAGCGAGCAAGCTCTCTCCTCGCACTCTCCGCTGTGTCTTCTTAGGCTTCCCCACCGACGCTCCGCCCTGGCAGTTCTACCACCCTGCCTCGTGTCGTGTTCTGTCCTCTCAGGACGTCACCTTTGACGAGTCGGTCTGTTACTACCGACTTCACCCGCACGCGTCCCACCCGGTCCCCCTCGCGCCTCTCTTCCTGGTACCAGTCCCCCCCCCCCCCCCCCCCCGGGTGCTGTGGACTCTGGAGCTGAGGCTGCTGGAGCTGGGCCTGGGGGTGGTACGTCTCGGGGTGTCCACTCTCCTTGTTTGGCTACCCCCCTCGGTTTCCCGCCTCTGCAGCCTTCTGCAGTGGACACTGGAGCTGAGACTGAGGGTGCAGGGACTGAGGGTACTAAGCCTGCGGGTGCTGGGACTGAAGGTACTGAGCCTGCGGGTGCTGGGACTAAGGGCACTGAGCCTGCGGGTGCTGGGACTGAGGGTACTGATCCTGAGGGTAATGAGCCTGGGGGTACTGAGACTTTGGGTGCTGACTCTGGGGGTGCTGAGACTTTGGGTGCTGACTCTGGGGGTGTTGCGAGTCCTTTTGGAGGTCGTGGAGCTGGAGTTACTGGAGCTACTAGGCCTGGAGGTACTACTAGAGGTACTAGAGGTACTACTGGTGCTGGAGGTACTGGAGCTGCTGGTGGTGCTGGAGGTGCTAGAGCTGGAGGTACTAGAGGTGCTTCTGGTACTGGAGGTGCTCGAGCTACCACTAATGGAGGTACTGGAGCTGGACAGCCACCGCATACTGCTCTACTTGAGACGCTCTCGCCGCAGGCGATTCGTGCGTGGGTCGTTCGGCGAGGCAGTCCTGGTGGTGGAGGGTACGGTCCTGCTGGTGCTGGAGCTACTAGTCCAGGAGGTACTAGAGGTGCTGCCGGTGCTGGAGGTACTGGAGCTGGAGGTACTGGAGTTGTGGTGCTGGAGGTACTGCTGTTACTGGAGGTGCTGGGGGTACTGGAGCTGCTGGCACTGGAGGTGCTGGTGCTACTGGTGCTGGAGCTCCGGGAGCTGCTGACCCTGGAGGTGCTGGTGCTGCTGGTGCTGGAGGCGTTGGAGCAGGTGGTGCTACTGGTGCTGGAGGTGCTACTGGTGCTGCTAGCACGGGAGTTACTGGAGGTACTACTGGTGCTGGAGGCGCTGGAGCTGGAGCTGGAGGCACTGGAGGTACTGGAGGTACTATTGGTGCTCAAGGTGCTGGCGATGTCGGAGCTCGTGGTACTGGAGGTGCTGGTGCTACTGGTGCTGGAGGTGTTGTTGGGGGTACTGAAGAAGCTGCTCGTGCTGGAGGTAGGGGAGCTACTGGTGCTCTTCGCCACCTTCTCAGTCTTCCGCCATGTGCTACTGACTTCCCTGTGGCAGGTACTACTCCTCAGTAACTGTTTCCACTTGCGGACCAGTCGCAGCCGCCACTGCTACCACACTCCCCACTGCCTGCTCCCGCTCCTTACACTGCGGTGACACAGTCTCTGACCGAGCGTCGAGAGCCTGAGACTCGTGCTTCCACCCCTTAGCGTCGAGAGCCAGAGTCTAGCTTTGACCTTAATCCCGAGCCTAGAGCTGCTGTCCGTGCTCGTGTTCCTCATGTTCGTCGTCCATGTGCTCCGGCTGTCCCGGGCACTCATGATATGACACTCCGTCCTTCCTCTGTTCCACAGCGTGTTGTCCTACTGTGTACCGCATAGACTACCTTGCAAGCCTTGTCTCTGACCCTGACACTGCCTGTCCTCTGTCCATCGGGGGTGATACTGCCCTTGGCTGTACTGCCCTTGGTAGTACTGCCCTTGGCTGTGACGTTCTTCAGGACAGACAGAAGGAGCTGGAGTGCCTTGCGGCCACTTCACCCCATCACGCGACCATGCTGCTTGCCCCTGAGGGAGACCCGGATGCACTTGACATCCCCTATGAGGATCTAGGATCGAGCTCAGAAAAGAGAATGTGAATTGAATGAATCACCTGGGTACAACACGAGGCTATATATAGGCTCGACACAAGGCCCCGTAACCAGGTGTTACGCGAAGGTTCCGCGGGCCGCGTAGCGTCCCGAACAGATCCTTACCGAATTCGGTAGAAGGCAATTCGGTGGCAACCGAAAAGCCAGAATTTGGTGCACGCAACCTAGCTCGGTGCTATAACTATAATATAGGAAAGCACCTAGCCTGGGAAATCAAGCAATTCATGCATGCATATAATCATCCTATGATAGAAATAGCATGATAAAGTAAAGGCAAGCAAGCATAGCTGGCATAAGCCGTCGTACTCTCACACGTCCCCCCCTCAAAGCTGGGTGGCGTGAGATACACCCTGCTTGACAAGATAGTCCTTGAGAGCACGGCGTGCATTGCCCATATCAGCTTCTGCAACCCAACTGTCCTTAGTGGGGTCGTATCCCTTCCAGCGTATCAGGAACTAGAGGGTCTTGCCGCCGCGGCGCCGATGAGTGAGAACGCGCTCCACTTTGTACTCTGGTTCATCCTGTACGAGAACCGGTGGTGGTGGCGGTAGTTGCCGTCCCTGGAACTGTTGGTTGGGGTCCTTGTAGGGCTTCAGTAGCTGGACATGGAAAGTGTTGTGAAGCTTCCATGTATCTGATAAGCGCAAGCGGAATGTAACTGGTGTCACCTGTGCCTCAACGAGAAAAGGACCACAGAAGCGAGGCCGGAGTTTGGATGGGAGGTGAGACATGTTCAAGTTGCGCGTGTCAAGAAGCACCTGATCTCCGACTGCTTCTGAGTGATCACGTCGCTGACGATCGGCATACTACTTCTGGGAGTTCTGCATCGTGGTGAGACGTCGTTGAGTCTTCTCCCATAGCTGCTGCATGGTGGTGACGAAATCACGTGCGGCTTGGACGTGTGCCGGTGTAGTTGGTTGCTGTGGTGTGAGTGGTTCCCGTCCGTAACACAGGAAGAAAGGAGTTTTCCCTATGGCCGCATGTGATGCGTTGTTGTAAGCGAACTCTAGGGTCGGTAACTGTGTGTCCCAATGGCTGACGTCGTCCTTGCAAGCTGTGCGTAGTAACTGTTCAACCACTTGATTGAGTCGCTCTGTCTGTCCGTCAGTCTGGGGGTGGTATGCAGAAGACATTGCAAGCTTTGTCCCCAAAAGTCCCATGAGCTTCTCCCAGAACTTACTGGTGAATTTTGGGTCTCTTTCTGAGATGAGTGTAGCGGGGATGCCGTGGATGGTGATGATGAGGTCGAAGAAGAGGCGAGCAGTTGCTTGAGCTGTAGCTGTGGCGTTGGTCGGTATGAAGTGACCCATTTTTGGAGAACTTATCGATGACTACGAGGATGGAATCGTGCCCCAGTGAGGTCGAAGGAAGTCCTGTGATAAAGTCGAGGCTAACGACCTGCCATGGCTGCTCCGGTACGGGTAGAGGCTGAAGTAACCCTGCTTTTTTCTGCTTGCTACTCTTCATCCGCTGGCACGTATCGCAAGAGGTGACGAACTGCTGCACGTCTGCTGCCATCCCGGGCCAGTAGTAATACTTCGCTATCCCTGCTAACGTCTTGTTTCTCCCGAAATGTCCCGCGTAAGGTACGTCGTGAAACTCCTCCAATAGGATCTACCGTAGCGGGGCGTAATTCGGTACCCAATCTTTCCTGAACCCTTCCTTACAGCTAAGTCTTTCTCCCACTGTAACAACTTCTTGGTCTGTGCTGTAGCGATTTCTGTGTCCACTGAGTACCCATGTTGGAATAGACCCTTGAGCAGAGGGCTCATCCCGTCGAGCTGGATGCCTGCTACATGTCCGGGGCGGCTCAACCCATCTGCCTTCTCATGTAGCCCGGGCTTGAAGACGATGTCGTAGTGGAAGTGAGTTTCCTGGAAGTCCACCCGCCGCACCTGTCGTCGTGAGAGCGTCGGCTGCTACTTAAGATATTTGAGACTGCAGTGGTTAATACAGACTATAGTCTTGACTCCCTCTAGGTAACACCTCCACGCCTTGAAGGCTATGACTATCGCTAAGGCTTCCTTGTCATGGATGGGGTGGTTTAGTTCTGCTCCGTGTAGCTTCTTACTGAGGTAGGCGATGGGCTGCAAACTGCGTCCGTGATCCTGCATCAGTACTGCTTGTCAGAACTTATAGCTTACTTGTTTCTGTAGGCTATAGTGGGGTATCCCATAGGGGGTACAACCCAATTAGGGTTTCCTATTTGTACTCACTTCGTTCATAGTCATTTCATTCTCGTTCTTTGTTTCCACATGGAATCAGAGCAGGTTCCCTCCTAGGGACTGCTTCTAGGGCCCACCGAACCGCGCCCCGAGGCGCGTTTTTTTTTAGCGACCCGTCGTGTCGCCCCTAGCGGACCGTTGCGCCGCCCTTCCCCTCGCGGCTCCGCCGCCCTTCCCTAGCGGCCCCGCCGCCCTTCGATCGCGGCCCCGCCGCCCTCTGCTACGCGGCCCCGCCGCCGCCCTTCGATCGCGGCCCCGCCGCCCTCGGCTACGCGGCCCCGCCGCCCTCTGCCTCGCGGCCCCGCCGCCCTCTGCTACGCGGCCCCGCCGCCCTCTGCTACGCGGCCCCGCCGCCCTCTGCTACGCGGCCCCGCCGCCCTTCGATCGCGGCCCCGCCGCCCTTTGCCACGCGGCCCCGCCGCCCTCTACTACGCGGCCCCGCCGCCCTCTGCTACGCGGCCCCGCCGCCCTTCGATCGCGGCCCCGCCGCCCTCTGCTACGCGGCCTCGCCGCCCTCTGCTACGCGGCCCCGCCGCCCCCTGCTACGCGGCCCCGCCTCTCTCTTCGGTCGCGGCCCCGCCGCCCTCTGCTACGCGGCCCCGCCGCCCTCTGCTACGCGGCCCCGCCGCCCTCTTCGGTCGCGGCCCCGCCGCCACTCTGCTACGCGGCCCCGCCGATCCGCCCAGCAGCAGCCGCCGCCGCCTGAGCCGCCGCCGAGCCGCCGCCGAGCCGTCGCCGAGCCGCCGCCGAGCCGCCGCCGAGCCGCCGCCGAGCCGCCGCCTGAGCCGCCGCCGAGCCGCCAGAGCCGCCGCCGAGCCGCCCGTGACGCCCGAGCCGCCCGCGCCGCCCAGCAGCAGCCGAGCCGCCGCCGAGCCGCCGCCGCCTGAGCCGCCGCCGAGCCGCCGCCGAGCCGCCGCCGAGCCGCCGCCGAGCCGCCCGCGCCGCCCGAGCCGCCTGCGGAGCCGTGCTGCTGTTCCTCTGCTGCTGACCTACCCGCCTCTCCCAGCCCGGTGAGATTTTCAGCTGCTGTCATGGCCACCCCCAATGTTCTTACCTTTGACGCTGAGGGGAGGGCCATTGACTTTGCCGTCTGGATTGAAGACCTGCAGCTGTACTTACTGTGTGATGCGATAGATGAGGTCTCTCTCTTTGACTTTGTCTCTGGCGCTGTCCCTGCCCCACCTGCTGATGCTGACTCTGCCGTTCGCTCCAAGTGGGCGACCCGCGATGCTGCTGCACGTCTTGCTGTGCGTCGCCACCTCCCTTCCTCTGAGCGTGCCCACTTTAGTCAGTGCAAGACCGCTCAGGCCTTGTACGACGCTGTAGTTGCACGCTACTCCTCCCCTTCCTCCGCTACCCTTAGCCGCCTCATGCTACCGTTTCTCTTCCCTGACCTCGCTTCCTTTCCCACTGTCGCTGACCTCGTTACCCACCTCCGTGCTAGTGACACCCGCTACCGCGCTGCCCTTCCTGCTGAGTTCCGCGCTGCGAACCCTCCTCCCATGTACATCACTCTCTACTTTCTCGTCACCCGTCTCCCTGAGTCCCTTCGTGTCGTTAGGGACCAGTTTCTCTCTGTCTGTCCCACCACTCTCACTGTCGACCTCCTTGAGGAGTCCCTGCTAGCGGCTGAGAAGAGTATTGTCGCTGTAGGGGCCTCTCGGGGTGACCCTCGCACCCCTATCTTTGAGGGGTGTGGTCCTTCCCCCCTGCTGCCCTCTGTCGCCTCTGCCGCTGCGGCCGACCTCACTGGTTTTGAGTCGGTCGGCGCGGCGTCTGCCCCCAGCGGCAGACGCCGCGCTGGCAAGGGCAAGGGGGGCAAGGGAGCGGGTGGAGCTAGAGGGGGCGGTGGAGGAGGCGGTGGGGGTGGCGGGGGGAGTGGGGGTGGCGGTGGGGGTGGTGGCGGGAGTGGAGGTACTGGTGGCGGCGGTGGAGGCGGAGGTGGCGGCGGAGGTGGTAGCGGAGGAGGCGGTGGGAGCGGTGGGAGCGACGGTCCTGGTGGGGGAGGTGGAGGTGGAGACGGGGGTGGCGGTGGAGGCGGGGGTGGCAGTGGTGGCGGGGGTCGGAGTGGCTCGTCCCAGCGGAGCAGCTCCGGGGGTGGTCAGCGCCAGCAGCAGCAGCAGCAGCAGCCGCAGCAGCAGCCACAGCAGCAGCAGCGCTCTCGCACCGTCCCCGCCCCTCAGCAGCTCCGTGAGTGGTA